TGAAACCAACTGCCAACCAGACATCGAACCATTGATCACTACTTATTGAGGCCAACAATCTAGGCAGCTTTCTATCCACCTTATAGTCCATTTATCCAATCTATACTTCCTTAACTTGCTGGTAAGAATTATGTGGGAGACTGTATCAAAAGCTTTGCTAAAGTCAAGGTAAATCACATCCACCAACTTCCCCATATCCACAGAGCCAGTTACTTCATCATAGAAGGCAATCAAGTTGGTCAGACATGTTAAGTAGTCACGGAAGTTAAATAGCTGCTAACAACAACTACGAGAAGATTTTTTAAATAGTCTCACACCAGCAGGGCCTTCCTCCCTGGATTCCTCAAATTTCATTCCTAGCTTTTGTGAGATCACCATTTCACTAATGCTCCAGTATTCACAGAATCTTCTGGGGTTCTAGGCAAGACCTGACTTTTGAATGCAAAACACAAGCATAACCAACCTCTCTCTATAACATACTAGAAGATTTATCCAGCGTTGCTCAGATCCTTAACTCAATTAATTTGTTCTTCATTTCTGTCATTGCTGAGGGGTGGGGCTAGGGATGAGGGGTTCAGGATGCAGGCTGCCTCGGGGAGAGAGGCCAACCCCAGCCCTCTCATGGCAGCAGGATGTGGCCAGGTGAGAAGCACCTCTCCATGGCCACTGCAGCTCCAGCGGACAAAGCTGGAATAGGGGTGTATGTCCCCCGGCTCAGACAGACAAACAGACAAACTCTTTCCAATATATAGCAGACAGCTGTCTCCTTCTCCACCTCTGCCTCCTGCTGCCCCAATGGAGTTATAGCTGTTCCAGTCCCCGTCTGAGCCCCTTATTGCTTCCCTGTAGTCATTATATAATATAACTGTCCCTTCTTTCCATCCGATATATCCTTTCTGCCCCAATGTGGTCATTATATAACAGAGCCTTCCCTTTTCATATTATGAGAACCAATCCCATTCCAGGCACATCCCATTTTCCTGGCACACCCAACCCCTGACCTTGCTTTAAGTTATGATAAAAGGAAGCTTCCTACCAAATTTAGTGATCCCAGCTATTACTATTTAGGGGGAGTTCTTGAACAGACAGACAGACAGATGGACAGACACACTCTCAGACAGAAAAACTCTCAACTATATAGTAGATAACGCTAGTTTCTGATGTGCACTGGTTGCCTGTAGATTCCCAATTGAAATACAAGATGTTGACTTAAACCTATAAAATCCTCACTAGTTTGAGATTATTATTTTGAGTTCACTGACACATTTTTAAATATATATTTAACTTCAATTATACGCTTGGGCTTTATGTTTTAACCTTCCAGATCCTTCCAATATGCTTGAAAGAAAAGGTGCAATTTGGAGTGTAGGTGGCATGGAAAGGTCATTGGATTGATTCAGTTTATTGCTATTAGTGGGGATAGGCTTTGTTGTTTGTTTGTCCTGAATCTCCATATACTTCGGTGATCTCATGAGAAGGGGTATAAAAGTGCCCACAGCTTAAGATGGATGCTTGAGCAATCACAATAAATAAATGATTGTAAACATACAATAGTCTTTCTTTTCCCAAATGGAACTTTGTAATTTTCTTTTTTTGTCTGATTTTTGTTCCTTCACTATAAATCTGTGGTTATCAGTTTCTGGCGATTATTACAAACTGGGTGACTTCATCCACTCCCATAGATGTAGCAACTATTTCTGTGCTGATGTGCTTTAATCTTTTTCCTGGATGGCTTACTCACAACTGAAACTCATCATGACTAAAGGTTTGTTCGTTCATTTCTCTCTCTCTATATATATATACACACACCATCCCTCCCCCTCGTTACTAGAGTCATTAAACAATAAGGTATTTAAGGCTTCCCCCTAATTTCTCCTTCCTCTCCCTTGAAGGCTGCTTCTGCTTTTTGGCCTGCCAGAGACTGATGCTAGTTCTTTGCCCAACAGCATCTCAGTGGTCCCTTCCCCTGTTTCCTGCCAGCTGCCTCTCTCTCAATAGCAGCTGGCAGCAGCTCCAGCTCACTGCTGTAAACAGCGGAGAGGTAGCTGAAGGGGAAGAGAGAGGGGCCACTGTGGCAACTGAGAGAAACAGAGGAGAAGCAGGCAGGGAAGGAGGGAAGGATGTGGCTGCTGAGGTCCTGCCAAGAGAAAGAAAGAACAGCATTTTAAATAGCTGCCTATTGCTGCCCCATCATCCTGCAACATTAGGTAGAACTCAGTGATTCAATACAATCCAGGCCAGGCCAAGGACCGGTTGATGGTCTGGGTTTAATCAGCCCACTCTTTTAAAATTTTAAACTAGTGTTCCAGAACTAGCTGCCTGTCATCTACAACATATAGTTGAGAGTGTTTGTCTGTCTGTCTGTAAGTCTGTCTGTCCAAGAACTCCTCCTAAACTGTAAGAGCTACCAACTCTGGTGTGTGGCTTCCTCTTAATGAGGCTTAAAGCAAGGTCAGGGTTTGGTGGTGCCAGGACAATGGGATGTGCCTGGAATACGACTGTTTCTCATAAAATGGAAAGGGAGTGGTCTCCTAGTGGAGACAGTTATACTGTAAAATGACTACAGGGGGCGGGTGCACTAATAAGAGAGGGGCTGGCTGGGGGGTGGGGCTCTGGATGTCACCAGCCACCATGCCCCCCCAGCTGCCCAGGCATTGTGGTGTCCCCATGGCCCCAGCCAGCTCCAGTGAGCCGCCACCTTGGCCAGCCCTGGTGAACCACCAGCTAGGCAGTGTGGCTTCCACTGCCCTGGCCAGCCCCCAGGACCTGCCAGCTAGACAGCACAGACCCTCTTGCCCTAGAGAGCTGCTCGCCCTAGAGAACTGCAGCATAGCCCCTGCTGCCCTGGCCAGCTCCAGGGACTTGCTACTCCCACCCACTGCCCTGAGTCCCCCTCACACCCAGCATCCTGCCTTGACTCCTGCACCCCCCACATTCTTCCCTGAGAGTCCCATCCCATGCATTGACCTCTGCACCTCCCACCCTCTTCCCTGAGGCCCACCCCTGCCCAGCTTCCTGCACCCCCACCCCATGCCCTGACTTCTGCACCTCCTACCCCTGCCCTGAATCCCCCACCTCCTGGTCTGAGCCCTCTGTAAGGACCTGAACAATGCCGGGTCAGTGTGCTAGTAAGAACATAAGAAAGGCCATATTGGGTCAAATCAATGGTCCATCACTGCTCCTGGCCAATGGGAACTGTGGGAAGGGGTGTCCTGGTCTGCGCTGCTTCCTGCAATTCCCATTGGCCAGGAGTAGTGATCCATGTCCAATCAGAGCTGCAAGCACCTGTACCTGCAAAGGCACAGGTATATAAACGGGTGGCGGCTCGCCAGGGGCTAACCCTAGCTAGCTGCCTCCATCTTATTGCCCACCCCTGATATCGAGTGTCCCCCTTTAATAAATCCTCCTCTAAGGGATATGTCTGTCCAAACTGCGCACTCCTCCACACCTTTGGGCTTTCCCCCAGCACTTAGTTTAAAAACTCCTTTGCGACCTTTTTAACGTTCTCTGCCAATAACCACCATCTGTTTAGCCCTAAAACAACTAACAGAGAACAGAATGACTTATTTCTTTTTTATCTAGTCTAAGAGTGAGAACCATGGTGCTTGGCACTTGACATAGTTCAAAGACACTTTTGGTGCAATAGAAACAATTAAGACAATAATAAAATAAAATAATGAACGTCAATGATGACAAAAAATAGTAAAGCTGACACTGCAGCCGTCGTGGTAGCAAAAAATAGACATATAGAGTAAATAAAGATGTCCTAGAAACCAGAGACACCAGATTTCATCCTCCTTAGCTCAGCTGTTCTGAGTTGGAAATCTAATGCAGTGGGGATTTATGCAGGCGTACATTTATAGTAATTCAAGCCACATTGACAGAATTTCCTATACATAAGTGAGAGAACAGGCCCCTGAGCTGACATATTACATTAACATTACGTTTATCAGTGAACTCACAGGCACTGATTACAATAAGGCTGGGTCCTTGTCAAACTTAGATAAAACTCTGAAGGGACCCATATATCTTTTGCCAGTGAATCCAGTAGTTCTACCTCTTGAAGCAGAAAATGAGATACACAATCCTGTACTGAGACGATAAGACTTCAGACCTTCTTCCACGAAAGAGATTTGACATCTCCGGGCAACCGTCCCTTAGTGGAAGGATCTGATCTCTTTATGGGAAGATCGTACCCTGCTACCAAGCTCTGAGACTTCTCCTGGAAGAGATACAGGGCCTGATTCTGATCTCAGTTATGTTGCTTTTACACTGGGGGTAATTCTACTTTACTCCTTCCTGGTTACACGGGGGTAATTGAGGCCTCATTCGGCCCCTGAAGCCAGAGTTGTTGACTCGAATCCCACGATGTGAACTCGAGTCCCACTTAAGTCGCCTAGATGACTCAACGTGAGACTCCACTCAGGTTCATTGTTTGTGGCTTGAGACTCGACTGGATGAAAACATTTTGTTAAATCGACTTGGTGAAAAAATTGTCCAAAAATGCCGATATTGATGGCTTGTACGAAAGTTTCTTGACATTTTTTAAATTAAGACTTGAGACTCGACTTGGGACTTGAATTGAAAGTGACTTTAGGGACTTGAGACTCGACTTGGACTTGACAATAACGACTTGAAGACAACACTGCCTGAAGCCTTCAGGGAGAATCCTCTGTTCTCCTTGTCCCTGGGACTGAGATGATCTCCAGGGGGAAACCTTCTTTGAACTGGGACAGAGGATAAAACAAACTGATTAAAAACCCCAGTGCTAGAGAAGGTTAAGTATTAAAGAACCAAATCCCAGTTCTAACTGCTGCTGTTCCCTTCATCTCATGCCAACTGCCTCCAGGATACACTTGCTGACAGAATTTCTACCTCACAAAAGAAGTTCCAGTGTGTGTGGGTTTTTAAAATTCAGGCTGTCAGTCCTGGAATTGGAAGCAGGGAAACAGAACAAAGGCAAACAGGGTTTGCTCCATCTCTCGCTGAACTCAACGGCAATGCTCCTATTGGCTTCAGTAAGGCATAAACGAGTCCTCACGAAGCTTGATGTATCTGCAACTTACAGCATCAAAAGGTCTGTTCCTCCACCTCGCATGCCTAAGAAGGTATTTTCATAGCATGGCTTCTCCACTAATGTCTTGTTTTAGCCTCCAAATATTAGTAAGTCTAAAATATTTATGCCACATCGTTAGCCCCATAGTGTCATTTTAGCAAAATTATAGTTTTCACTAATGGACAGAGCAGAAGGTCAGAGTAACCCCTGACACAAACACATATTGCTGTAGTGCTCAATGGTTTCTCATTGCTCAGCATCTTCCTCCATTTCCAAACTTGCGTGTCCCACTACATTAAGGCCCTTGCTGGGATGTGCACAAAGGCACGAGTCCTGAAAACATGAACTTGTGATAACTTGCTCTCTCAACACTAGGATCTCCTGCGTCACGAGCTCGTGACCACAAGTCTCGGCAACGGGAGTGGTGCCCAAATCTCCACCTTGGTGGGAAAGGGTGGGAGAGTGGGGAATTGAGGGGAGGTACAGATCATGCATTGAAACAGAGAAGGAGAATGACTGTGTATTTTAGAAATGTGCATCTGTCTGTCCGTTTATGACACCTATGAGTCTGTTTGTTCAAGAACGCTTCCTAAATGGTAAGAGCTAGAAGCACCAAATTTGGTAGGCAGCTTCCTCTTATCGTGACTTTAAGCAAGGTGGGGGTCTGGTTGTGCCTGGACAACAGGATGTGCCTGGAATGGGACTGTTTTCCATAGCATGGAAAAGGAGGGGTAGGAGAGCAGGGACAGTTATGCTCCGCAATGACCACAGGGAGGCAGTGAAGGCGGGGGACAGTTATACAGCAGAGTGACCTCTTGGGGTTGGCCACACCAATAAGAGAGTGGCCAGCTGGGGCTAGGGCTCTGAATGTTGGTAGCCCCCTGCCCCAAAGACTCAGGCCAAACCCCTCTCCCCAGCAGCAGCACTGGATGGGGGAAGGGAAGCACTGGCAGCCAGTGGCCCCGCGGGGCAGCAGTCCTTCTGGGGAGCAGACACCGGCCAAAGCCAGGCAGCGCAGCCCCCGCAAACGTGCCCCTCCTCCGAGGAGCTGTCAGCAGGGTAGCACAGCCCAAGCCAACCTCGGGGCTGCCCCGGGAAGAACAAGGTTCTACTGTAGCTGGCAGGGCTGGGGCAACTGTCCTACACCAAATCTCTTCATAAATAGACTTCAGAACTATGTGGTCTTCACCTGCATTTCAGTGGGGCCCAACACCCTGTCCCTGAGAATCTGTCTTCCTTTTCTCCCACTATCTTGTGCTGGAAGGTTGGTCTTTTCCCAGGTGAGCAAAGATCCTCCAGGAGCCTTCTTCCTCTCTGCAGAGTTTGTGGAAATCTGCCAGTCACCTATAGTCTTCCCCCACTTTGTAAGGCTCTGGTGCCTTCCCTTGCGCCCCGATGGGCAACAGGCAATCAGTCCTGGTTCAATGATCCCCACTCCCTTCTAAAGGGCCAATCATCTTGTGACTATGCCCCACACTGGACTTGATGTGGATTGTTGATGTGGCTGTGTTAGATCTTTAAACTACGTCAAAGGTGCCTGTACTATACACCTTTTTTATGGATATAAAATAAACCACACTCCTCAATACATACAGCATCCGCATTAGAGGAGATGCAGGTCCATGTAGTTTGATGGACATGCTACTTCCTTGTAGTTTTGCATCACTTCGTCTCACCTTGAATGTGAAACAGTGTCAGGAGTCTACAGCTGGGGGGAAAAAACAGATAGTCATAAACAATTAGCTTGATTTTAAGCCCAATTGACTTGTTCTTGGTTTATTTGTCTCTTTCTAATATGTGCTGCCTTCTTGATGGAATGTTGCTGCCCTTATCTTTTAAAGTAAAGCCTACAGCAACCTTCACAATAGATCAGTAAAATCCCCCCATTAAATCCTCTTTAACAAGTAAAGAAGGCAAGAATACTTTGACAGACTTGACAGTCTTCTCTTCATACATGGTCTCCCAAGGAGAGGTTGGACTGGCATCTAAAATGTGGCCTTTAAACTGGTCCTATTCTGTGAGAAAGCTGGTGTCTAAGACAGTCTGCAGTTGATGGTAGAGGTTGAAATAGTGCTCCAAGAGTCTTGCCGGTGTGTGTGAGCTAGTACGTGGAGCTGGGTTGGTGAAACAGACACAATAGTTAAGCTTCAGAGGGATAGCTGAGTTAGTCTGTAATCTTAAAGACTAACAAAACAGGTAGATGGTATCATGAGCTTTCGTACAGTTCATTTGAAGAAGTGGGTTGTACCCACGAAAGCTCATGATACCATCTACCTGTTTTGTTAGACATTAGCTAGAGGTCAGCCAATGCAGGAATGAACACAACAAGAAACTAGGAAGGTGCGTGTCCCTATTTTATTTGGTGGGGCTCCAATGAGGTTCAGGTTAGAGAAACTTGGCTTGAAGTCTGAGAACTGAGTAATCACTGATTAATCCAGGTTAGTAGAAACACAAGTTTCTCTGGGTACGTCTACACTAGCTCGTTAGTTCGAGCTAGGTAGGGTAATGAGGGCAAGCAGAGTTGCAAATGAAGCCCGGGATTTAAATATCCCGGGCTTCATTTGCATGTTCCCGGGTGCCGCCATTTTTAAATACCCCTTAGTCCGAGCTCCGTGCCCGCGGCTACACGCGGCACGGAGTAGGTAGTTCGAATTAAAGTAGTAGAGACAACGCAGTAACTCAACAGAAGGTATGCTGGAGTTACATAAACTAGGTCAGCTTTGCCCAATAGTGAAGACCTGTGTAATTCATGCAAACATTGTCCCTTCCAGTGGCTAGACCATATAGAGAACTGTTGAGGTCTGATACAGCTTCGAAGCCAATGCACCTAAGATCTGTTAAGTCAACCCACAGCTGCTTACAGTTTTACTCAGATTGTAAACTCTTTGGGTCAGAAAGCTTCTTGTTCTGCATTTGTACAGCACCTAGCACAACGGTATGCTGGCTCACCACTGGGGCGCTTAGTCTATGTCTACACTGCCCCCATTTTGCGCCAAAAACATGCAAATGAGGCAAAGCAAGGACTATCACTTTGCCTCATTTGCATAATTAATTAGGCTCTGTTTTTGCGCAAGAGCTGTTCTTCTGCATTTTTTTCAGGAAGAATGGCTTGCGCAAAAAGCCTTTTGCACAAAACCGGAGCCTCGTTAATTATGCAATTGAGGCGCGGCGATAATCCATGCTTCGCCTCATTTTCATCTTTTTTTGCACAAAACGGGGACAGACTAGACATAGCCTTAGGCATTACCAAAATTGAGCCTTGTTTAGAATGAAAAGTGTGAACGTCAGATTTGAGTGGGAGAGAAGCAAATTTGAGTTTAAAAATGGGAGTTTTTATTCCAAAATGAAGAGGTAGGGGTGAGCGATTCTGTAGCCTGCAAAGTCTGACCAGGACCTAGGGATCCAAAGAAAAGATTTAGGAGAGCTGCATGAAAGTGAAAGCATTATCTAGGAAAAAGTTGTAAGCGTTTCGTAAGACACACGTGCTTGCAATGCCTGTCAGAGTCCCATAATCAGAACCCTACTTTGCTTTTCCATGCCAGGTCCTCTGTGCATAGAAAGGTCTCCAGACACTCGGTGGATATTAATTAAGCTTCACAGTCCAGGATCATTGTGACCTTCCCCATTTTCAAAGAAGGAAGCAGTGACTTGCTTGTGGTCTCGGGGCAATACAGTATCAGAGGCAGAACACAGCTGTTCAACTCCAGCCCCTTTCTGTAAGGCGCCCCATACACATGCTCTCCTTTTGACACTCCACAGGGAATGAGTTTTAGAGTTCTGCCAGCACTGTGGTAACAATTTACATCAGAAACAGCAGACCGGGGCCTATGATTCTTGTATCTGTCTCTGGTGCTATGTGGTCCCCATTACAGCATCATAGAACACTAGACCTGAAAGGGGTCTCGAGAGGTCATCAAGTCCAGTCCCCTGTCCCCATGACAGGACCAAGCACTATCTAGACCATGCCTGACAGATGTCTGTCCAGCCTGCTCTTAAATATCTCTAGTGGTAGAGATTCCACAAAACCCCTAGGCAATTTATTCCAGTGTTTAACCACCCTGACAAGAAGTTTTTCCTAATATCCAACCTAAACCTCCCTTGCTGTAATTTAAGCCCATTGCTTCTTGTCCTATCCTCAAACGTCAAGGAGAACAATTTTTCTCCCTCTTCCTTATAACACTCTTTTAGGCACTTGAAAATTGCAATCACATCCCTCTCAGTCTTTTCCAAACTAAACAAACCCAATTCTTTGTCTTCCCTCATAGGGCGTGTTTTCTAGACCTTCAATAATTTTTGTTGCTCTTCTCTGGACCCTCTCCAATTTCTCCACATCTTTCTTGAAATGCGGTGCCCAGAACTGGATACCATACTCCAACTGAGGCCTAATCAGCGCAGAGTAGAGCGGAAGAAGGACTTCTCGTGTCTTGCTCAAAACACTCCTGTTACTGCATCCCAGAATCATGTTTTCTTTTTTTGCAACAGCATCCCATTGTTGGATCATATTTAGCTTGTGGTCCAGTATGACCCCTAGATCCCTTTCTGCAGGACTCCTTCCTAGAGACTCACTTCCCATTTTATATGGATGAAACTGATTGTTCCTTCCTATGTGGAGTACTTTGTAGTATCTGAACACTTCATAGTCTTTAATATATTTATCCTCACAACAGCCCAGCATAGGCAATTCATGGCAGCAAACAGCCCCTCAGGCTCCTGCCAAAATGTGGATTGCTAAAAGGGGTGTTCCCTCATGCCCCTTCCCTGCTCTTCTGTGTGGCCCTCCCTGTACCCCAACCCTTTGCAGATACCAGACACCTATGATGCCTGGGAGGTAGGGAGCCGTGTATCAAACACCATTATGCTAGTCCAGAGCAGTAGAACTCAGGGTTACAAACGCCTTGGGAATGGATGTTCTTTGTAACTCTGAAACGTTTGTAACTCTGAACAAAATCCTCTGGTAGTTCTTTCAAAAATGTAGAACTGCACATTGACTGCGTGCAGCTCTGAAACTTTACGCGCAGAAGAAAAATGCTGCTTTTAACCACCAGAATGTAAATGAAACAAGCTCAAATAAAGTTCGCTTGCTGTGTCAAAACTTGTTTTAAAACATTCTCTTGTTTTTCAGTAGTTTACGTTTAACCCAGTATTGTACCGTATTTGCTTACAAAAAAATTTAAGTCAATTGCGTAACTTAAGTCGTAATAGCTTATTTTGGCTTTTGGCACCGTCTACACAGCAGGAAGGCCGAGAAAGAGCACTCTTCCTCCAACTTCTCTTATTCCTCGTAAAATGAGGGTTACAGGAGTCAGAGTCAGAAGTCTTCCAGCTCAACATTATTTTGACATTATGTCGAAATAGCTGCTTGTAGTGTAGACATAGACTGTTATTTCAGAATACCGTCAGTTATTCTGAAATAACGCTGCTGTGTAGACGTACCCTAAGGTGCTACGGGACTACTTGTTATTTGTTCAGTTGGTCAATCAAAAAAATAATTTTTCCAAATCCTGGCACCCCAGCATCTGAAAAATCCAGCCACATTCTTTTTACTTCCCTAGTAATAAAGATTCTGCGCTTTGAATGCAGCTGACAATGTTGTTCCCAGGAGAGGCAGAGGCTATAACTCAAAGACTCGGAGCAGACGATTAAAGGCTGCCATTTTTAGAGCCACTTTTCTGACCTTAATTGCAAGGTTCGGTGGTGGTTAATAAAAACGACACACAATAAATAAACAGAGCCTTTGCCTAATTAAGCAGCTTTACTGAATGCCAGGGACCAAATTTATCCTGGCTGTAATTCTACTGAAGTGCCGCTGCACTGGAGGTGAAGTTGATCCGGTAGCACATTCCTTTTAAATTGTTTCAAGTGCTCACATGCAGTAGTGACAACCTTGTTTCTAGTATGCTAGCCAAGAAATGCTGGCCCAGCCCCGAGATAGTCTTCGTAAACTGATTCACTCCTGGAACACTTTATATGACAGTCCCTGCTTTTATTCCAGGTAAAATGACAGTAAGACCCTCCATTGCCTAGAGAAGGGAAGCATAAAAGCGACAGTGAAAACACCCAAGTGCTGATTGCCAGGTAACAGTACAGAGCCTTTCAGATCCATGTCCCTGGTTTATATGCAGTCCACGGCAGCAGCGACAGAAAACCGTTATTACTGGATGGCTGCTTATAGGCTGCAGGAAAAGAGCTGGTGGATGCCTAATGTCAAATTGCTGCAAAGATGGTGTCCAGTTCACGCCACAGAATGGGCCATGGAGACTGGATGCCTCCCCCAGCCCTTGATGTGACACTGCCTAGATACAGCCATGTTGGCGGGACAGCATGGGTGTCGGCTACATAGATGCTGTGGACAGACAGAGGGTTCTACATTCAGAAAGCAGCAGCAACAATCCCACCTCTGAGGGGTTAGAGCGGGGGTGGGGAACCTTTTTTGTGTTGGGGACCACTGACCCACAGAAAAATCAGTCAGGGGCCAGGGGCTGCAGGGAGGTGGGGGGGGGGGGGGGGCTGGAGTGCCAGCGAGGGCTCCCTAGTGCTGAGGGTAGCCCTAGCCTCGTTGCCAGATCCAGGCAACCCAGGGGCCACATTCGGCCCCTGGACCTTATGTGCTTCACCCCTGGGGTAGAGGGAGCTGCAGAGGGATGGGCAGCCTGACACAGAAGTAAGCCAGGGGGAAGAGAGGAGGGTCCCATCACGATTGTGGGCTGTTTGGGCCTGCTAATCCACCAGCCGAGATCAGTTGTGCAGGCCTGCTCCACTCAGGGGACAAAGCTGAGGGTTCTGGGAACCCCACAGGTTTTTTTCCCTCACTGCACAGCTCATGGTCTGAGTCATACAGTATTTTTCCCATGGCCATAACTAACATTAAAACCCAACTGCTTCAGATTAGAGACAGGACATGTTCCTCAGAGAGGACCTCCCCCCCCCCCCCCCCCCCAAGTCTGGTGTTTTAAAACATAAACGAAAAAAGGGAAGAGGATCTGAAAAAAGTGAGTC